CATTGATTTTTCAAGTCAGCTTTCTACAGAATTTGTTCTCGATAGTGGTTAATTTGAAACAAGTCGTTTCAGATGTAATACTAGTAATCACTACTAACCGGTAATGTAACTGTGATTTGTAAGTATATTCATAAAACAAGAAATACAAATTGTATTACACTTATTTTTCTAGAAATTAATCCGTACTAACCTACTGTTTATAAAAAATTGTAAAGTTTGCAACTGAATCAATAAATGCAAGAAGAGCACATGTCCATAATTTTCATAAAACCACATTTATACAGATTTTTGTTTAGATTCGTCAATTACATTATTCTGAGCAAACGGGACACATTTACAGTTTACTGGTATATTATAAAATTATTATGATATTTTGTGTTAAATGCAAAAACGGCGTATGTCCTAGACACGTGACCTTTTTGCCGAGAATATTTATTATCAAAATCGTTATAACAGTTTTCCACATGTTATATTTATTTATAGCTTATTATTTACTTAATTTATTGTTATGTTAATATCAGTAAGTCAATCAGCCATCGGGTAAACCATTTATTGTCCATTATTAATATTATTCAGTTCTATACCTACTATTATTTATTAGACTAAAATATAATGTCAGTGACACAGTATACCTAATTTTGTTAATTTCTATTCGTAAATCGTAATATTAAAATAATGAATTCAGACGATGACATGAAGAGCCCTCAGAAAAGAAAAAAAGGTTATGTTAATAGAGAAACATACAAAAGAATGTTATTAAATAAGCGAAAGTATATGGGAAAGAATATACAAATTGGGTTGGTCAATTAGTTGCTCCAAAGAATGATCCTTCAACAATCACTAAAGGGTGAATGCTTAATTTTTTTTTTAAAAATTGTTATTAAATAATTTATTGTAAGGTATTTAATATTCTAAATTTCAAAATAATTTTATGTATTATTGATATAATAGGAACTATACTAATTTTTAAGTTGTTGTTTAAAAAAATGCCTTGAAAGTTTCAACAAGAACACCTGGAAAATGTAATGAAAATGTTTTATGAACTAGAAAAACGAAAAATAAACAAGATATTCACTTACAGCGTACATTTGAAATCAAAATGATTACTAGAAAATGTGAACGGGTAGAAACAGAAAAAGGAAAAGAAAAATCAAAATCCAAAAGTGTACAGTATTTTTTAATAGTAAATAACCAACGTATTCGGGTATGTGAAAGAGTTTTTATTAAAGTACTTCATATTTTTGAAAAAAGAGTTAGGTGGTCGATTTTTTTGTTAGAAAATAATACTTCACCTTTTAATAAGAGAGGTAAATATACAAAAAGTAATGCATGTAAATTAGAGTATTGCCAAAAAATACATGGTCATAGTATGGGTTTTCCTACTTAAGAAATACACTGTACAACAAAACAAAAAAAATATCTTGACCTTAAATTAAATTTCAAAACGATGCATGCTTTGAAAATGCTTTTAAAAATATACAAAATTAGAAGGTAAAATAAAGTATCAATTTTATTGGGAGTATTTTAAAAATAATTTTTCATTAAGCTTCGGTGCTCCAGTAAAAGACGCTTGTTCAAAATGCGAAGAACTTAATACAAAAATAATGAATAAGGATTTAAATGACACAGCAAAAATAGTAGCTACTGCAGAACTACTAGTTCATAAACATAAAAGTAAAAAATTTTACAACAGTATAAAAAAAAACCACAGAAATAACACATCAGAATAAAAAAGAGTTAGGTCTTTGTTTTAATTTCATGGCTGTAGTTGACTTACCTAGAATACCAGTACAGGAAGTTTATTATTATCGGTAACTATCTGATAATACATTTGGAATTCATAATTTAAACAAAAATAATTTATTTTGTTATGTTATTTTATCATGAAGCAACAGCCAGGAAAACCCCTGATGATGTATGCTCTTTTTTTGATGTATTATTTTGTCGATAAAGATGTAGAAGAATTGCATTTATTTTGTGATAATTGTGCAGGGCAGAATAAGAACTATGCTTTAATAAGAATGGTCATGGCTCGTGTTGAAATAAAAAGGTTCAAAAAAGTCAAAATATTTTTTTCACAAAGAGGACATTCATTTTTGCCGTGTGATCGTGATTTTGTCTTAATTAAAAAAAAAAAAAAACTAAACAAAGTTGATAGACTACAATTTAGAGGACTATGTAGAACTAATTTTGAGGTCATCAAACAACTCAGACAAATTTTCAGTATTCTTAGTTGATAATAGCATCATATTTGATTACCAAAATTGGTTTCCATACTTTATATTAAAAATACAGATGCCATGGAATGTTTAACCAGAAAAAAGTCAGTAAAATATCATACAATTGAGAAATTTTTAATTTCCAAGTACTACTATTTTGAATGTAAATCCGATCAGTATGGAATAATTGAAACAAGTGAATATATTGATGGAATAACTTCGTACCATTTCAAATTAAGAAAATACAACATAATACCAATGACTCTACTTGAATCACTAGTATACAGGATTAGCTTACCCATAATACACAGCAAAATGAAAGACTTAAAACAGCTGATAAAATATATTCCATAACAAGGTTTAAAACCGGTTTGGAATACAATATTTTTATTACAGATAATCTAATAATAATTTTTTTATGATGTTAAATAAATAGTTTAAATATTAAAAAAGTAATTGTAATATTAAAACGTTTTAAAGCGTTAGTCTCTATACAGTGGATAAATTACTCTTTGATCATCCGATTCTTTTGAATTGGGATTTCGTAAAATTTTTAATTTATAGTAATAAACCTCATAAAATATAATATATTGTATTATGCGGTTTTCCTTATTATATTTTATAATCATCACATATTTATTTGTGAATAACGCGATTTTTATTATATTTTATCATCATCATATATTTATTCATGGAATGAAATACGTGATTTTATATTATTTTTTTTTCCGCCGTCTAAGAACTAACATAAGTCCCTAGTTTTTACCGTGTAGGATTTAACATAAGAGCTCTGTCCTAAAAGTATTCGATCATCAGCCATTATTCTGCGATGGCCTTATTCATCATCTGGCCTATGGAATCCTTCAAAGTAATCTCCATTCAACTGAACAACACATTTCTACCAGTGTTCCACATTCTGAAGCAGTTCTGGAAGCTGGGTTTTTTTTTACCCGCTAGGTCTCGTGTAAGAACTTACATTCGCCCAAATCAACATGTTTCACGCCTGCGATATATTTAGCGACTACGTGCGTTTCATATGTAATATTATGTAATAAGTTCTGCACCTACTTTCCTTTTTTTATGGTAAAATGCCAAATGTATTAATTTAAATATTAACGCCACGGTGTGCCATTTGGCTTTTCATAACATTGAAAAACAACATATTATTAAGTAACAGGTGTTATGAAACGTAATACCCATCGTTGATTTTAGAAACCGATTTTGAGGATAATATTTTATTTTTGAAAACTTGTTTTTGATACGAACGATTACAGTGACATCTCGTAGCTGTGTCCACGTAGGCGCCACCAATTTTGACAGTGAGATGGCAAAACCTAGTGTCTTTGTATTCTACAATTAACGGTAGCTTATTAACGTTATAAGAAAAATATATGTTCAGATAGAAAATGAATATTAATTCATGTAATTGTTTACTGGATCAGACGAGATTAATTGCTCTTTCTTACGCATTGAAAATATGAATCGACAATCTTAACAACAGTTTTACTTTATTCCGTGAAACATTATGATTATTATTATTTTATTATTAGTCGGCGCCGATAATAATCTCAGAAATGACGTGTTTGAAACGGGTTTACCGTTACAATAATAGCAGTTTTCGTTTTGCTCGTATCCTACGTGCGAGGAAATAAATCCGTTTCCAATCCGGTTGGTGCAGCAAAAAATCGCATCGATTTGCGCGCACCGTTACGGCGCACAGATGCTGCTCGAATATAACCCCCCGAAGACGCGCACCGCGGTGGAGGGCGGACCGAAAGACAAAAATCATTGGAAACGGCCCTCCGCCGTCACCCGCGATCACCGCTCGCTCTACCGGTGTGTTTGTACCTAGCGCGATTGGGGACGCTGGCGGCGGCGGCATTTACGGCCGGCTGCTACTTTCACTGATCGCTCGCCGCCGTTGTGCTAGCAACCGCGAGCGGCGGCGTGCGTGCGTGCGTGCGTGTGTGCGTGCGTGCGTGCCCGATCGTCGACACTCGTGCGCGCTCCAGCGACGGCGGCCGTTCCATTATGTCCCCGTACGCGCCGCCACCGCGCCCAAACCGGCGAGCATCATCCTACTCCAGAGCGATGCCCACCTAACTCCTCCCGCTCACTGCCCCGACCGGGTTTTCGTACCGTTGTCGTTTCGTGCGTTCGCCGCCGCGGTATCATCGACGCGCGCGCCCGCCGGTGTCTCGTGCGCAAGCGTTACGCGATCGTGCGCGTGCGTGCACGCATCCGCTACGCGCACCAGGCCGTCTCGAGCAGTCCGGACGAGACACGGTGCACAACTACAACGCGTCGCGCGCCGCGTACACCGTTTCGCTCGCACACAGACAACGACATCGAACCGATCGAAAATAGACGCTTTTCCCCGCGGAAGTTTGGTTCGTTCAATCCCGACGGCAGCGTAACACACATTATTTACGTGTCGTTTTTTTTCCATCCGTTCGTGTCCCGTTCACTAGTGTCCGTGTGTGCCCGTCCGGCCGCCAGCGAGATCACCGTCATCGCGTGCCCGCGTCTTTTATGATTTGCGACTAATCGGAACGGGGCTCCCGTACCCCAGGAGCGATTTCTTTTTGAATTTTTTTCATTCGCATTTCTGTCCTCCGCCACGCGCAGTATCGCTTATCGCGCTACAATTGAACAAGGGGTACGCGGTTGTGCCAAGCGTTAAGAGTAGTACACGTAGTAGTGGGCCGCAGCGAGTGTTGCAGTCGACCGTTTGCGTTCCGTTCGTCGTCCGCCGCCGCCGCCGCCGCCGCCGCCGCCGCGATGTTGGTCGCCATGACTGCGATGCTCGTGTCCGTAGCCGAGTTCTCCAACATCCTGTCCGTGTTGGCCGTGCTCATGTGCTTCTGTGCCATGTTCTTGCTGATCATGAGGTAAGTCCGCTGCCCTCGGCCACCCACACGCCGAACAGCGCGTGCGTTTGTTGTTATTGTGGTTGACCACTACTGTTGTCGCGGTCGTGGTCGTCAGTTTCATCTCCCCGAACGGAGCACTCCGGGTTCCACGAGAATTCGATTTTGCCGAAAACTTTTAAAAACCGAACGGCATAATCGTACCGTTTAATTTTTTTTAATTTTCATTTAAGTCGATGCGCTGGCAACTAGTAGTGGTTCGAAGTGCTCGAAGTGGGTGGGATACGGAGGGGTGGCATCCCTCTACTTTTTTGTATTTACAGTTTTCATCCCTCTACTTGTTTTGTCTAGAATAACGCATTCCTCTTTAGACTTGTATTTTAAAATGATATACTTATCATTTCTATATTTTTATATAAGACATTTTTTTTTCAGTGAAAATAATTGTTTTTAACATTCAGGGCCGGGCGCCCGGCTTATCGTGTTGTTTAGTATAAGCCGTTTCGCAATTAGTATTATATCCGTATTTAGAGCCACGGACTAAGATAATATACTTTATGTGAACTATGAAAAAAAAAATAAATATTATAGGTACACAACGTGTGAAGAATGTTATGATAATATCAGGAAATCTGAATTATAAGGTATCCCTCCACTTATCTTGAGCCATTTCAACCACTGTTCTAAACCAACTTTTAATAACGTAACATTTAGTTAGTTGGTATAAAACATACATGTATAATATGCACACGCTCGCTGCGTGTTGCATTCACTTTTCATGGACATGTCGCGTTGACTTCACGACAACGTTCACGCAGTGTAACACTGTCGTGTTTAATGTCCGTACAGAGATGTTATTTGATATCGGAAAACGGCATTATGTAGTGTACAATCGCAATTCATGTGTAGAACCAGACATCCGACGATGACCTATTCCATTTTCGTCACCGATGATTTTGCAAAGACGGCTTTCGTGTCAGCTATTCAATTTTCGTCTCACGCTTAGGAGAACTCGGTGCAATCGTAATGTGATACCGTCGAATTCGTATCATTGTTTACCAGGACGTTGTAAACAGCGACTATAAAATTCTGATTGCAATGTCGATGATATTGATGAGATAATTAATAATGAGTCACCGGTAACAGGAATAATCCGTGACAAATCAATAACAACATCGATGTTCGTTATAATTTATAATGTGGTACGAACAATCACACTTACTGTGATTTATTTATCATCTAAATTGTGCTGACTTAGAAACGATAAGAATGTAATGCATCATGTGATGCAAAATTACTGTAAACGTTTTTATTAATTATTGATCTTACGTATTCGTCTCTCCGTGAACCAGTGCGTTATTGAGTTTCTCTTGGGCACAAACGACATACATTTGTTATGGCTGTAGCGTCCGCGACGAATAAACGCTAAACATCGCTTAGCTATAATGGCCTATTATAATTGAGGATGACCAAATCTTCAGTTTACCAATCAAATGTCCGTCTGAAAAACCGTATTCGTCGTGATTTAATCAAAATTGTTTACACACTTGTAGAACACATTAATAGTATGCTGTTATCGAAGACTAAAACACAATCGTACGCTGTTGAATACGTATTCGAGGTGCGAGTAAATGGGCTAATGGCTAATCAGTGTAATCGTGATACGATGTGGCTTGTGTTTTGAGAATCCCTAGCTGACAATCCCGTTAGACGGTATAAAATGCTAATTTTTTTTGGTGACCACAATTTCAGTAGTTTTACAAGGGGGAAGTATGATGAGTTTCTGTTTATCGTTGTTGTCCCCGATCGTATTTCCTGATGCGACAGCATATTGCATGTATACCACTTGAGGTTGTATAACATTCCAAAAAACGTTATTTTGCAATTAAAATTTAACAAGAAGTGCATTGTACTTAAATTCAAATTAAACACAAATATAAAACAGTATATTATACTGCTCTGCGTTTGAAGGGCAAATGTGGCAACGGAAATTATAATAATACACGCAATAGTGGAAACTTATGATACCGTGACTATTTTATGTGTCGAATAACGCTGACCAGGACGCACAATTGAAACGATTTAAATATAATTGTAATCTTTTGGACGTTTTAATTGCCAAACCGTTATTTACTCATCATAAATACCCGTGTCAATAAACTTAATTTTTATTACTCATTATACATGTTATACCAATTTAGCGTACCCATACGTGTATGTAACTCGTAAATAATATCCATATATAGAGTAGAACGAATAATATTATTATATTTGTTACATTTTCAAATCAAAATAATCTTAATGGAACCGTTAGACATCAATTATAGTATTAATATTTATAGATCGCATTTACTATGATATAAATTAAAACTAGAAAATATACGAATCGCTCGGATGGATAAAATTGTATGGGCGGAAGACACATGGTTACATAAATGTTTGCACATTGAGTATGATGAGATACTAAAAAAATGAATGAATGATCCAATTTGTTCTTTGATGGCTGTTGTACTTAATAAATAAAGTCTTTCTTACGTCCAAAAACAATCGCAATAATTCTATATTTCAATATGCTTTGATTTAGTTTGTTCATAAAATATTGGCATTTTATTTAGTTTGTATATTACGAATATATGGATGCCAAATGAAAAAAACTCAATATTTAACGTGTATCTTAGTGTATATACCTGCATATAATTGTTATTAAAAAATAATGTTCAGATTTTACTTTCCATAATTATGGTTCCGATAAAACACAATATATTATGGTATCAATATCGCGTAATAATATTCAATTTAGTAAAAATCACTTCTTCTAACAGTGAACTATAGTACTCCTGTATCGTATCGTACAAATCATTAAGTAGAGTATTTTATATATAAAACAGCAAATAACACAGAACGTTATGGAGTGTATAAAGAACTATAGTCGTAGTTCGTTTATAAATATATCGTCTTATTGATGATCAAATTATTTTTGTAATCATATTTTTATTTTTTTACTTCGTGGGGTTTCGATACGGAACCCGTCAAGCGTTTTTGTTGTATTATTATAATGGACATACCAATTACGTTTCGGTTATTGTGTTTATTATGACGTTGGTACGTGGAGAGGAATTCATGTATAGTAAATTTACGAGAACCCAATAAAAAAGTGTTCGAAGGCAAAGAATAAAAATTTATTACCATTCATGTTGTGTAGTTTGCTGTTTTCTCCCCCTCCTCCATTTATAGCGACAACCATATTATGTATTAATTTTTGGCGGGCGTTGATCCCGAAACGACAAAGGGTTCGTGTATTTACTTGACTGCCTACACTGGCGGCGTCTACCTACGTAATTGTAGTTCGAACGTTGGTGTGTTAATAATACGGAAATGTAGCCGATTATGTGGAGAAGTACAAGTAAAATTGAATAATACAACATGAATTTCGATGTTCGTGTTCGACGCTGTCAAAGACGTACGGAATGCCCACCAATGATTGCAATAAAAATAATTATTATACACTGAACTTTAAACTGTATTGTCAATGTTGTTACGTAATTGTTCTCATATTCCTACACGGTCTATATATGTAAACAGAAACTTCAATTAAACACTATTTTTAAGTGTTGAGTATTTGGACGAGTCGTCATGAATTAAATAGACATATGGTTGCGGTCTGATTGCACTATAATATTTCTGTTGCTAGATAGTCATCCAATGAATATGTGTAGTGTTTAGAAAAAAAAATTACTGAGGTTCGTTCGTTTTCGTCGAGGTCAAAATAATAATCACTAGAATAAAAATTTGAAAAAAAAATTGTATAATAAGTATAAGGTTGACCGTTAGGCGACAGTACACACTTCGATTTGTATGTAAATAATGTATGTTCGTTATATTACATAACTTATACGAAATACACGTATTCACGTGCACGTGCGTAGTAAACAATTAAAATAATCATTAAATAAGTAAATATAGGTAGATAAATAAATACTTTTTACACGCTTGTAATCGGATGATTTTAAATTGTTTTACATACAAGTTTTAAAATAAAATGTTACTATTTATATTCTTGAAACTACCACGGCACCGTCATTTCGTTCCTATGTAGCCACGGATAGGAGTAGTGCTTTTTAACAAAGGCTTGTTCTTCCATCGAAGACGCTTTAGAGATGATGTATTTATAATATTATTAAAAACTAACGATGCCGAGTGACCCACGTGACTGGCAATGCATACGACGCGCGACCGGTTATCGTCAGGTCAGTTTTCGTAACGGAATAATAAAGAAAGTCGTTTTATAATTCAAGTTTTTTTTTTCTGTGTGCCTGGTGTTCTGTCGCCATTTAAATTTGTAAATAAACGACTTTTATGTTAATATGCCGTATTGTGATTGTTACTGAAATACATTTCCTGTTAATTCTGTAGTTGAACTACATTTTTTCAAAAATTTGTATATGGACGTAAAGAAATTTATATAGACAATATGAAAATATAGTTACTAAAACAAATAATAAATAGTACCGTAATACGCTCTCTTTTCATCCACAGCAGACGTTTATTATTATACGAGATAGTTGTCAGCCCGGTTAAACGAGTCTTTTCATAACTGTAAGTAGTTGTGTCTATAGTTTATATTCATTAGCCTATACACTGATTGAACTGGTATGGAACGTTGACCCTCCTAAGATGTTATATTAACCGTGAACTTTCTATTTCTGAGACATGTGTAATGATCGAATGCACGTAATTCATTAAATTTGATCATCGGAATAGGCGATACCGAGCGAACTGGGCATTTAAGTTTTATTGCTGACGCCTACTATTTAGCCAGACATTTAGCTATAATTACCATTTTCGATAAAATTGACAACTCGCAATAAATTGCATTCAAATATACATCGTAATCGCTGTAAATAATATAAAATCTAGTTCTTGCCACATGCTGCGTTGTAGTAGTAATTGGTATGGTTTTCGGGTCTTCGAAACAAATTTCTACTCATTAATTTTACCCCGGAACGGAAGACCTTGAATAT